TCGGCATCCCTCCTACTCCACTCGGTGTCATCCACAAAGAAGAATTTTTCTTTCCATCCTTTGATGGATGACGGTCCAACAGAGAATAAACTCCTATTATCTTTGCTGGACGACCGAGGACCGAAGTAATACCACCCCTTCTCCCCTTTACCCCCAGCCTTTATTATGAAGAAGTGTTTGAACATGTTTACCGTTGGAACCCCAACCCCCCGTAGTCGGCAGTATACAAGAAAACTTATTACTACCCTTATGGCATTTGGGGTTAGTTGGGTTATTCCTATACTATAGTCTAATAATCACCCAACCAATAATTCTGGAATGGAAAACCTAAGCCTTGCAATCAAATAATGGACATATAAGGGCATCCAATGGTCTCAGGGTGCTGAGCATGCCCTCTCATTCACCCCGCCGGCCTAATTAGGACCTGGTGAGGGAGGTTGCAGTTACCCACGAGGCCCCTAAGATTATCCCTGCTACCTAACTCGCTCACATACCCCCTCACCTCAGATACCATCTCTAAATCTGGGTCATAACACCCATCCACCCTACTACCAGCCTCCAAAATGTTTGAGGGGATCTCATCTTCCTCCTGCACTAATACCCTTTGCTCCCTCCTTCCCTCCACCGTTCTTTCCGAACTAGATGGAGACGGACTGCTCTCCGTATCCATGCTCCCGTAATCCAAGGGCATCACTTCGCTCCCCACTACACTCATGGTCCCTTCTGAAGACATCTCCTCAATTTTTGCATAAAGTAGGAGGAGGAACGAAGTCAAGACCCTTACATATTCTAATACACTTCATACATTCTCACTCCCAAACCTAATTTCCTTTAAAAAACCCAAAATCAAACACAAAAAGGGAGAAAGGAGAATGGCATTTCGGCAAAATCGAACTCAAAAACTCAAAGTCGAAATAAAAAATTCATCAATTTTACCTGATTTTGATCTTAGGAAACTGTTGGTGAAGTTTTAATCGAAGCGCAGACCGCACGAAACCACAGAAATTTAACAAGGATGTGCTAGAAAAATAACGAGAGTAAAAAAAATCCCCTTTTATAGAAGTATAACCTTTTATACCAAAGGCAAAATACGCCTCAACGGCTGTGATTAACTCCATCTAACGGCTGCAGAGACACAATTTCGAATTCGACGGTTAACCCTCAAACGACACAGTTTCAAACTTGACAGTTCGCTTTTCAAATCTGCCGGTTGGACTATTGCAGTTATCTTTTTACAACAGCATTTATTATGCACGTTATTCAAAGGACAGTGTTGCGTCACATACCGCGTTTTGGTCAGACTTCTCAGATGGGCCCACTTAAGCCCATTTCAACACTCTTCTTCACTTTTGTACATTTTAAATTTTGGCAAGTGTTTCACTTCGAATCCGGCCACAGTGACCTAGTGTCACACGTTTTACTTCAGCTCCGGCCATAGTGACCCAGTGTCACACATTTTACTTCGAATCCGGCCACGGTGACCCAATGTCGCACGTTTTACTTCGGCTCCGGCCATAGTGACCCAGTGTCACACGTTTTACTTCGGCTCTGCCCATAGTGACCTAGTGTCACACGTTTTACTTCCCTCTGGCCATAGTGACCCAGTGTCATACGTTTTACTTTGGCTCCAGCCACGGTGACCCAGTGTCACACGTTTCACTTCGGCTCCGGCCACAGTGACTCAGTGTCACGTGCTTTACTTCGGCCCCGACCACAGTGATCCAGTGTCGCATGCTTTGCTTTGGCTCCGACCACCATGGCGCCGGTCATTACTTTTCATTATGACTCATACTTAACTATTGTTTATGGTCATCAATACATGTAAAGTTACAGATTTCTATTTTTGCCTCCGTAACTCATTTGTAATATCTTTCTTTCTATTTATGCCCTACCCTTATCACTTCCAACAACATCATTCACAAGTGAATGACTTCTGGGGGGGGGTAATGTAAAGGCAGGTTCGAGGTGCCCAACCTCGGACGTACGACAATAATTCCTTTACAACCAGAGTGAAGAGTAAATCCAGAGCTTCCCGCTCGAACAGCTGCACAGCAGTTACGATGGACATCCTCGCATCCAAATATATCTCAATCTCTCGGTCCCAAAATAACTACTTGGAGATGCACATCAAATCCTGAATATCTTGCTTGGCTCAATCTCCCGGTCCCGAAATAACTGCCTGGAGATACACATTGGATCCCGAATATCTTGCTTGGCATGCCACGTGGGTTCTTCATTGGAACATATAAATACCCCTCAAGGGCCACGCCAAAAGGTAATTGAAACCAACCCTAAGCTCCTTGCTTCTTCGTTCTAAAGGTAGCCCCGATTATTGCTGACTTAAGCATCGAAGTGTCTACCCCAAGAACCCACCTCGGGGCTTTGCAGATCAATCCGGAGTGCAGATACGGACAGAAGAAGGACTTCTGGTTTGGTGCAATTACAATGTGGATGGACATGTGGTTGTTTTATGGATTTCTTGTGAGGCGAGTACTTAAGTTAGGACTCTCTGTACATTTGGGGTTGGCGGGCATGTTAGAAAAATATGAAATAGCAGAAGAATAAAAGAATTGTTCTGAAGTGTGATCTCACTTTTTTTAAGGATTTAAAATCTCTCATGATATAATAGAATTTAAAACTCTCTCAAAATTAG